AAAAAATGTGGCACATATACACAATGGAATATTATGCAGGCCATAAAGAAGGACAAACATATGGACTTTGCAGCAACTTGGATGGATTTAGAGTCTATTATACTCAGTGATCTATCACAGAAACAAAGAGTACCATATATTCTCACTCATAAGCGGACTTTGAACAATTATCATAATATTATAAGAAAGGGATTGGCAGTAGTGGGAAACTTCTAGGGGAGGGAGGTGGAATTGGCAGTTGAGGGAAACTGTCAGGGGAGGGAGGGGCACACCTCATCAACAAGGGTACTACCTGCATTATGAACGTTTGCATACCTAACCCTGAATTGTACCTCACATCTTTAAAATAAATTTTAAAAACTGAAATAAAAAAGTATTTTTTTTCAAGATAAAAACAATTATTTGAATATAAAAAAAAGAAAAATGTTGGCTGGGGGCAGTGGCTCAGGCCTGTAATCCCAGCACTTTGGGAGACCAAGGTAGGAGGATCACTTCAACCCAGGAGTTTGAGACCAAACTGGGCAACATATTGAGGCCCCTATCTCTACAAAAAAGAAAACTAAAGAGAAATATTACCCGGGCACGATGGCACATGCTACTGGGGAGGCTGAGGCAGGAGAATCCCTGGAGCTCAGAAGTTTGAGACTGCAATGAACTAGGATTCCACTGTATTCCAGTCTGGGTGACAGAGGGAGACTCCATCTCTTTAAAAAAAAGAAAAGAAAAGAAAAGAAATTGTTGAAAGAATGAAATGGAAAACTCCTGTATCAATGCTGGACATGAGGCCTTGGTGAAGCACAGCCATATGGACATATTTGAAAGTCTTCCTCCATAAGAGAAAACTTGAGACTATTGTTATTAGTTGTATCTTGAGTCATTACTATGAGTTCTGTAATAATGATAAAAGCTTGAACAAAATACTATATAGGCCTTTTCCTAAGGAAGTTACTGGTCAAACAGGCCTAATAATTTCCTTCTTAGGAAGACAAATCCAGAGGCTAACGTGCAAAATAAAAAGGATTTAAAAAAGAGCCCAAGTCAAATGTAAAATTTTGTTCTTAACAGGAAGAAGAGCATTATTTTCATAGGATTAACTTTAATATAAAGACTTTTCTCATTTGAAACATTTGAATCTATTCATGTCAAAACATCTGAATTTTTTTTAACGCAAATTAAACAAGTTGAGAAAATTACCAAGTAATTTAAATTGCTGATGTCCACTAATTTATTTAGAGAATACAAAAAGCAATGTAAAAAAAAAAGCATACAATGACATTCAGAAAAAGGAAATAAATATGTTCCCTTTTTAAGAGACAAGCATAGAATAGTCATAAGAGAAACTAGGGCCAAGACTTACATAGACACACACATCATCCAGGCAACCAGTTTTCCCAGAATCCCATAGCCCGCTCCCTTTGATGGCCCTAGTGGGTGGACTGTGGCATACATGAGACCTGATGCTTTTAGGCCAAATGAGAACAATCACCACCACCAC